TTGAATTGTGTCCCCCCAAAATATGTATCAACTTGGCTAGGTCATGATTCCCAGTACTGAATGATTATCTACCATTTTATCACCTGATGTGATTTCTCTATGTGTTGTAAACTCTGTCACTATGATGTAATAAGATGGATTCGCGGCAGTTACACTGATGAGGTCTACAAGATTAGATAGTGTCTTAAGTCAATCTCTTTTGAGATATATAAGAGAGAAGTGAGCAGAGATACATGGGAACTTCATACTACCAAGAAAGCAGTGCCGGGAGCAGAGCACGTCCTTTAGACCTGAAGTTCCTGCACATAGAAGCTCCCAGACCAAGGGAACACAGATGACTCGGACCTTCCTCCAGAGCTGGCAGAGAAAGTGTTCCGTTGGAGCTGATGCCCTGAATTCAGACTTGGTAGCCTGCTGGACTGTGAGAGAATAAACTTCTCTTTGTTAAAGCCATCCACTTCTGGTATTTCTGTTACAGCAGCACTAGATGACTAAGGCACCGTCCTAGTGGGCCTGGAATGCAGGGCTGAAGCCGAAGGCCGAGGAGCCCTCCACCCAGAGTCTGGAGGGCAGAGCCATTGCCTAGATGGTCTCAGAGAACTGAGGATTATTTTCAACCCTTGAGAGCTAATGTAAATCGTTCGACTGGGTTTTGGACTTGGCTGGGTGCCCGTTATCCCTTCTTTCCCTCCAGTGTCTCCTGTTGATAGTGGAAATGTCTGCTTTGTGCCCGTTCCACTATCATACTTTGGAAACATAACTTGTAGTCTAGATTTCACAGCTTCACAGATGAGAAAGAATTTTGCCTCAGGATGGGATACACCTAAAGTCTCAACCATATTTGATTTAGATGATTCAGAAGGTGAGGTCTTGGACTTGGAGTTGATGTAAGATTTTGAGATGATATGATGGGGTAAATGTGTTTTGAATGTGGGAAGAACATAAATTTGAGGGGGCCAAAGGGTACAATGTTAGGGATTGAATTGTGTCCCCCCAAAATATGTGTTGTAAGTCCTAACTTCTAAGCCTATGGTTATAATCCCATATGGGAATGAATTGTGTGTTAATGAGGCAGGATTAGTATAGGGTGTGTTTTAAGTCAGTCTCTTTTGAGATATTAAAGAGATTAAACAAGAAAGCTAGCAAGCAGAGGTGGGGAAGGAGAGATGCCAAGCCACATGAAGATCGCCCAGGAGCAGAAGCTAAGAGACAAGGACCTTCCTCCAGAGCCAACAGAGAGAGAAAGCCTTCCCTGAGAGCCGGCATCCTAAATTCAGACTTCTAGCCCCCTAAACTGTGAGAAAATAAATTTCTTTTTGTTAAAGCCACCCCTTTGTGGTATTTCTGTTATAGCAGCACTGGATTACTAAGAGAGCACTCTTCTGAGCATTTTATTTGAATTAATTAATTCTCACAACTCCTGCAAGATGTAGGTACTGTTATTATTCCAGAATAACTGATGAGAAAACTTAGACACAGAAAAGTTCTCAAAGCTAGGAATAAGTGGAAGAGCTGGCTATCAAACCTAGGCATTTTGGTTCCAGAGCCCAGAACCTTAATTCCTGTGCTACCATAATATACTGCTTTTCTGTACTATGTCTTGAAACCACTTTTTTACTTTGTTTTCCTCCCTGCTCCATGTCGTAACAAACTTATAGATGAGCTAAGTCACCATATCCAGAGACTCTGCTAAATACTGTGCCTGCTTGGAGTCAGTTAAGCCTCATAACAATCCTATGACTTTATGGGAAAACTGAGGCTTAGTAAGGCGAGGTAACTTGCCCAGTTTCTTACTAGTAATAAGTATTAGAGCCAAGACCTAAATCTTTCAAATCACGAAGTCCATACTCTTAACCAGTACGCATCCTTCCTCTCAACCTCTGCCAGATTCCTGTTCTCAGGACTCCTGTTCCCAATATTGTCCAGATCACTTCTCAGAGCCCTGAAATAGTTTCCTGCTATGTCTTACATCACAATAAAGTACCTGATTTTAGTTTTAGAGTCCTCCTACCCATCTCATTTCAACTAGTTTTTTTCACCATCAGGTAAACCCTCTTGATATACAATGATCTCACCCATATCTGAATCATATGGTATTCTTTACAACAAAGTATATTAAAATTCTAGTCTTCCAAGCAAAATATTGTGCCCCATCTTCCAAATTGCTCTTTTATGTTCTCTGTCAAGCAGTATTAAGACTACTGGGCAACCTACCATACCTGTGGTTACTTCTTGTGTTTGATTGGCTTAGTGATAACTTACTGGTCTTCTGTAACTTGGATGAGAGCAACATTATCGTCTACCTTGTATTTAAATTTATTTTTAGATGTGCATAGCCCCAAGGATAAAGGTAGAAGGTGAAGGTGTATAGAGGAAAGAAGTAAATGTCCACGGTGAGCTATAAAGATAACCTTAGCTGAAATTCCCTTCTCAGAGAAAATAGGAAAGTCTGCATGGCATTGAGCTTTATAGCTCTAAAATAACTCTCTTCTTTACTGGAAAAGTACATATTTTAGTAAAAGGTTCCTTTTTTTTTTTTTTCTCTGCCAGGATCTATTTGACTTCTGATTAATTCAGAGCAGATATGCCACACTCTCTTCGTAGTCTCGGCTATTTCCATCTTTTTGTACTATCTCTAAGATATTGATTTTTCTCCTTGACTCCATCTCATAATTCTTATACATTCTCCTACCCATCACCATCGAGTTGATTCCAACTCACAGCGACCCTACAGAACAGAGTAGAACCACTCCATAGCGTTTCCAAGCCTGTGATCTTTACAGAAGCAGACTGCCACATCTTTCTCCTGCGGAGCAGCTAGCAGGTTCGGACCACTGACCTTTCAGTTAGTAGCCAAGTACTTAACCACTGCGCCACCAAGTGCTTCTTACCTTCTTCCTACCTTCCTCAATGTGTCCTACCATCCGTCAGTTTCTTCCTTACATATCTACCCTTAAGTTACTGATCTGTTTCTCCACTAGCCCCAAATTTCATAATAGAAAATTGTTAGTAAGATTTTTAGATATATAGAGTCCCTTGAGCAGAGGACAGTGCTATCTTTATCAGAGCTCAGCAGGTATAATAGTTATTGTGCTGCCATGAGAATGCTTTAATAAAATTCCAGTAAAGGACTTAAGAGCTTTGAGAATTAAATTATAATCATTTGTCCTATACTAAGCAGTATTGGATAAATACAATGTTTCATTATTTTTTAATTGGTTAGTGAGGTCATAAGGAAAGAGACTCAAATATTGGCTATTGGTAGCCTATATATATGCATATAAATTACTTGAGATCTTCATTGGTGATAGTGATTTAAAAAGACAAGTTCAGGTATTATACTTTTAGCAGGGTGAGATTTCTGCCATTTCAAAGCTTACTTTTGCCAGAGAACTATACTGTTAGCACTCTTGGCATTAGGCCTTCATTGCTGTGGAGACAGTAACCAGCATTACAGTATATTGTTTTTCTGACATGCACATGAGATATACATGTACACTCTAAACACTTTAGTTTAAAGTGTGATTTAGTTGTCTGTAGGTTGTAAGTGTTGGCACATTTCAAAAATATTTTCTGTGTGCTTTTAATACTTTATTATTTTTATCCTCCAAAGAAAATAGAGGATAATTCTACCACTGTAATGACAAAGTTTTATATAACTTTTTAGAGGGTCTTTTAGGAATAACTTAGAATCCTCTGTGGGTTAGCAGTGGAAGAGGATTTTGAAGAATATGCAGAAACTAATGAAAAAAGTAATATGATCTTAAGCACTCACATGTCTCGGACACCTATAATTATGACACTAATATACATAATGTATACCAATCATTTTCCAGTTGAACTGATAATTTTGTGCTAGTGCATTGCTAAGTACTTTCACCCAATAGCTTATTTAATAGAACTCATCTTTAAAGTCCCAAAGCAATCTCCATTAATTTTAACTTTCAAAATATTTAATTGATTATTTTAACATATATCAGTAGTGTTCCTTAACTTTTCCCCCTAAAAAAGAGTAAATAAAATTTATACATGCTTTCAGTAAGTAAGGAGCCCGGTGGCGTAGTGGTTAAGAGCTATGGCTGCTAACCAGAAGGTCGGCGGTTCGAGTCCACCAGCCACTCCTTGGAAACCCTATGGGGCAGTTCTACTCTGTCCTTATAGGGTCGCTATGAGTCGGAATTGACTCAACAGCAACAGGTTTGGTTTTTTGTTTCAATAAGTAAAACTTTTAATTTGTGAATTATACTTTACATTTCATTCCTTACCAGAATGAAATGGATTGCATGGCATGGACTAATACTTAGACCTCATAATTAAATTCTTAAGTAAGTCACATCTTTTAGCATCCAGTGTGAAACTGGCATGACCTAGTTAATATCTTAGTCCATTAGCAGTTTTAACTTATTAAATTAATCACTGAACAGTACAGTGATTTCCTTGTTAAGCAAGATAGATTAGACGTGATGGCTTATATATAATCCTACTTACAGTATTTATCACAACTGAGTATTATACTAGTTACTTCTAGATAAAGAAAACCTTTTGATTACAGTTATTATAAACAAAGCCTTAAAACTTAGTCCTGTACTTTCCTCAGTTAATATTTATACTTAATGGCAAAGGAAACCAAGATAAGAAAGTTCTTTGCTTATTTAGAGAGAAAATAGCTAAAGATAATAATAGATAGCCACAACTTGTGCCCATAGTTTTGAATATTAGATTTTAGCTTTCCTTCTTGCAGTGACTTTTTAACAAGACCCATCTCCTCTATGAAGAATGGAGTTAATTTTTTTTTCTGGCACAAAAAATAGGGTAACCTGATCTGAGTCTGACAGAGTGTGTCGTTCAGTTAAGTGCTTCCATCTGTTGCCTGCTGTTCCCCTTACTCATGACCCCTCTATGTTTCTCTTTCCCTTTCCCCCGTTTCCCTCTGTTTCTCTTTCCTGTTTCTCTCTTCCTTCCTTTCTATTTCTTTCCTCTCTCTCTTTTTTTATTCTTAGCCCCTCTAAGGAAGGCAAAGTTTGTTGAGAGTCCACGAATTCCAGAATCCGAGCTTGGCTCACCAACCCTCACTTCAGCTCAGAAACTGGACGTGGATGCATACTGCCCTGGTAAGCGTGCATGCAAAGTGTCTGCTTCAAAAGAGGGAGGATTAGAGTGGGCCCATCCAGCAGAAGTATATTTTGCACGTATACTACTCATAAAAACATATCAGTGATCTCTTTTACAACTGACTGCATATTTTCCTTATTAGAACATCATTTTTACTGAACATTTTTCTTTAGCTATTGAAGTAATATTGAGAATAAGCATTTAAAAGAATTTCAAAGATAATTCTTAAGATAATTAAAATAGATTTTGGTAGAGATAGTTTTCAGGGTTATTTTGGTGATTTGAGATAGCATTAAAATTTGCCCTGGCCATGTGCAAACAGGAATGTTGAAGATATGAATAAGAATGTTCATTCAACACTGGACCTTTTGCATATGACCTATTATGCCTAATCCCTGTTAAAACAGTTATAGAAAATAGTGGTGATAGTGGCAACATTAAACTTGAATTAAAAAAGAAGCATTATTATCTTCCTGAGTTTGAATCAGACTCCTTCTGGATACTGACTTTTAGAAATACCTTGTCTCATGAATGGCATGTCAGCAGATGTGGGAGTTCACTAAAACCCTTCTTGTGTGGGAGCCAAACTGAGGCCGGCTCATTATCAATGCTTAGATTCTTCCAAACTTAGATGAGTTGCCTGGCAACATCCTTTACACTCACTCTACAGTGAGTCTATAGAGCTGTGTCAGAAATGTTCACAGCTCTAGCTGAGTATACAGATCAGAGCTTTAGTGAAGGACCTTGGAAGACTTGATTTTAGGTCTTTCGTGTATTCCTGCTCATTAAAATTGATGTTAAACCACAGTAAATGCATCCATTGCATATTTACAGCATTAGAGGTCAGCAGGGTAAAATGATTCCTAGTTCTAGGGAAGATATCAGGAGGTCATTTGAAATGTCAGGAAAATATACTTCTGAAGCCAGATAAGACATTTTTAAAAAGTAACAATAGGAGAAAAGTTAGGCCAAACCTAATGAAATAAGAGAAGTTTGATTTTATGAATCACTTTTGGAATATTGAAAGACCTTGAGAATTTCCCTTCCAGGGTGTAGGACCCTGCACTACATTCACTGTTACAGGTAACTATTCATTTTTAAGTCAATCACAGTTATGTATTAGGGCCCAACTTTTCTATTTTCAAAAGGAAGGAAATAACTCTTTAAATGGCACTGTAACATGTTGTTAGAACAATCTTTTTCATGGTTTTAGGTATTTTCACACTTCTTGGGCAGTGGAATATTGTGTTTTGTATTTCTTCAACCACACTTTTTTTTTAATAATAAAATAAATAAATAAATGTCTTATTCCTGCCTTGAGTTTTAGAAGAGAACCTCTTTTGTTTTCCTGATTTGTAAATCCGAATGACTGTGAGGGAAGCCTAATCTTTTACTTCCTGATTGCTCATCTGACATCCTTAATCTAATCTAGCTATTACAATTGTTATGAAGGAAAGTAGTTGCCGTTTATTGGAATGCAAGTGCCAAATCACTATGAAACATCTTATTCATGTGATTATTTCTGTATATGTTCCACAAGCATGAATTCTTTTCTAACTTGGAATTGAACCAAGCTAACCCTCAGTTAAGATTTTTAGAAAGCCAGGAAGAAACTACAACTTGATGCCAAAATGCAAATTGCCATACCATGCAGCCTTTCCTTATCTGAAACAGCTTTAAAGCACAAAGACTTCATAGTGTTTTCCTCTTTTATAATAAAGTTATTAGACTTTCTGAAAATAAATTTCTGCTGAGGTAAGAGGTGACCTGACGGTTGAAGCTACATAGTACCAAAAATTAACAATAAACAAATGAATTAATAAGCACACTAGTAAACAAAAAGCAGTTTAGGCTTTAAAAATTTCTCTTACATCGGAAATACAAAACAATGATCATATTTTGTTTTGTACTTATACATAGTAATGCAGTTAAGGCTAGTGTTCTGATAATCTTCTTGTCCACCTGCTTTACTTAGTATCACATACAAATTTAGGAAAACATATCATGCAGAGGCAACAATCTTAAACTAAAGATCAGAGCTGTTGTTGAATTGATTCCAACTCATAGTGAACCCATGAGACAGAGTAGAACTGTCCCGTAGGGTTTCCTAGGCTATAATCTTTATGGAAGCAGATCACTGGGTCTTTTGTCCTGTGGATCCACTGGGTGGGTTCGAACCACCACCATTTTGGTTGGCAGCCAAGTGCTTAAACATTTTGCCACCAGGTTGCCTTCCCCATGGAATAGATGTGGAAACAACTGCAGAGAGACTGACAAATCAAGGTTGGAGCAGAACCAAACCCGTTGCTGTCGAGTCGATTCCGACCATAGCAACCCTAGAGGACAGAGTAGAACTGGCCTATAGGGTTTCCAAGGAGTGCTTAGTGGATTAGAACTGCCGACCTTTTGGTTAGCAGCCGTAGCTCTTAACCATTACGCCACCAGGGTTTCCAAGGTTAGAGTAGTAATTCCCAGATTTTAGTTTGCTTCAGAATCACCTGGAGGATTTGTTCTAACAGATTGCTTCACCTACCCCCACAATTTCTGATTCAGTGGGTCTGGAGTGGACTAAGAATTTGCATTCTGACAAATTCCTGGTTGATGTTGATACTACTGATCAGGTTCCACATTTCTAGAACCAACTTGAGAACTGGGTTTCAGGGCTGCTGCAGGCTGCTGGCAGGTGGTCCAGGGAACAATGATGGAGATCTGTGCAGTTCATTCTACTGCTGTTGACTTCTGGGGAGGAATTGGGAACGCTGTTTAAGTATTATCTAAACTTAAACCTTCTGGTGCCTTATTTTAGACTTTATAAAAAAGAATAAAGCTTTTGTGTTGGGGAAATGGACATATATAGTTTTCTTGGTTTGTCTATTTGTACCTGGCATCTGTGTACCCATGTATCAGAGCAAGTCATTGATGTTTGGTCTGCAAAGTCTAGGGAAAGCTACACTGGGATATAGCTATTGATCCAGAATATTTACTAATAAATCGAGTAATTCAGTCTACATAGCATAGATTCTAGAATATCTGAGTTAAGTTTTGGTATTCCTCAAATGAAATGGTTGCATGTAGAAAATGTGACAAAAATACAAGTAAATAGTAGATTTTAGTTCAGCAACTAAAACTATGGAGGTGATTGAGGGTATTACATAGGTGAACTGCTGAAGTAGGGGGTGTTATGGGAATTGTGTTTGGTAATTATCTTACAGTGGAGAAAGTAAGACCTAGAAGAAATTGATTTGTATAGGGTCACAAGCAGGCTTTATTGTTGTATAAACACAAAGGAGCCCAGAAATACATTACCCTCTAATCCTATTGCTGTTCAATTCCATAAACACTCCTTGACTATCCTTAAAATAAAAAGCAGAAAATTCAGTTTTTAAAAATAACAGGACTATGTTCTGTTTTTTGAAAAACGAAAATCAACTGATATTAGTAGTTTCAAAAAAATAACTCCCAAAATAACAGATTCATACTACACTCTATAGCTTTTCTGCCTATAGCATTACTTGTAAGCTCCGTGATTTTAGGTAAGTCATATAATCTTCCTAAGCTTCAGTTTTCTTATCTATGAGAGTGGGAAAAATATTCTTAAATCGTATTAATAAATATAACAGAATACTTGGCCCATCGTAAGTGCTCATAAGTGTTAGCTGATTTTATTATTATTACAGTGATAATCCTGAGGTATAGCACAAGATCTTAGTGTTTTCTAAGTAATCAGAAAAAAAAAGTTCGAAGGTTTACAGTCATTTTTAGTTAAATGTATCTTAACTTTGTTTCAGTTTTCAATCTCTCGTTACTAGTCTTATGATCTTGAGCATATTGTGTAACATCTCTGTGCCTTTCCTGTCACAGCAACATTATATATGACATTTTTTTCTGTAATTTAACAAACTAAATATGTGTGTATATAGATGCATGAATACACATTCATAGGAAAAAAATTGTTTAGAAGAATACACCAAACTCTAACATTGGTTGCCTGAGGAAAAAGAATTGAGAGGAAATCAGAGGGGAGTAGGACTGTTAAGAGAGTACTAGTGTTAGCAGTGGTTGTTATCAGGTTGGTGGGATTACAGGTGTTTTTAATTTTCTTTCTTGGGCAGCATATATCTGTGAGTAAGAGTTCAGGTTCTAGAGTTAGATCCGGGTTTAATTTCTGGCTATCCCACCTACTAGCTGTGTATCTGTGTAACTTCATAGCCTTAAATTCTTTGTCTGTAAAATTGTGATAAAAAGATAAACCTATGTTTGAAAAAAAAAAAAGACCTATCTCATAGGGTTGTTATTAAGATTAAGTGAAATAGTGCGATGCCAAATGCTTAGCTCAGGTAAAATAGCAATAAGAGATATTAGCACCTTTCCTATTGTTCATCATCACCATCATTACACTTTTCTGCATTTTCTAGTTTCTACAATGAACTTGTATTAAAAAAATTTAATTAACCAGCTGCCATTAGAGGACAGTAATGCGTTTTGTCTATACTTTAGTTTTTAAAGTTTTTATGTTGCACATTATAGTAAATACAGAAATTCCAAGTATAGAAGTAAACCTTGACACAGATAGCTGGCCAAGTCAACAGGTTTATAGGATTTTTGTCTACATGTGCGAGGTTATGGGCCAAGGTCCAGATCAGCCTTCTGAAAATACATAGGCTTTTATCCCCCCCAAATATTTTCAGAGGAACTTGAGCTTAATCTTTTTGTAATAGATCCTTTTAAATCTCTTATAAAATGTAATATCCTTCAACAGACAGTGTTATTTGAGGTGACAGCAAACTTAAGATGTATTTGAAACTCAAGAATGGAAAAGAATTTTATGATAGATACTTGGGGCATATCCATATTATACATATTTTGTATTTGTAAGGGATTTTTTGTTTAAATTTCTTATCAACATTGTACATTCTGTAGTAGAAGTACAAGTCACTGTAGACAAATAAAATGTTTTCTGTAAAACAGGTAGTTCCTTGAACTCTTTTCTCAACTCCTT